CAGCTTGACTAACTAACTAATACAAGCTGCCTTCAGAAGGAGGAAACGAGTATGGCTGTAGGAGCCCGTTATTCATATAATGGTAAAACTGCACCCCCAATCCATGAATGTGACAAGCAAAGTACACACTCCTCATAAAAAAAACATACTGGGCTGATGCAAGGCCAAAAGAGAGAACGCAGAACTAATAAACCTGACCTTGACGAACAAACTAAAGATAATGTCTGGATGCAGGGGAAATGGGAATGTGAAGATAAGCATGAGACAATCACCTTGGTAGACCAATGGAGGGTTTGAAAAGTCTTCATGAGAAATAAATTGAGGCAGGTCAAGAAACTGACTGAGACATGAAAAATCTAGGATCAGATGCCAATCCCCAGTCTTTCTGGGGACAACAAGCAGACTGGAATAAAATCTTGGAGAAGGATGAGAAACCCGTTTAATAACATCAATGGCGAATAGATATGCCCTGGCCTCTGACAGATGCTGGCAAAAAACTGGATCCACTGGAGGGAAAGTAACAGGAACAAGGGAGGAACAAACAAATAGCACAAACAGGCGAAAAAAGAGGCTTAAAGGGATATACCTGTCAGCAATGTCTACTGTTCTTTTATAGGGTGTCCAAAAAGTCTGGAACCATAGGCACTTCAATAAATTTTACAGAATGCATTCCACATGTTGACCTTCTAATCCACAACAAACTTGGATTAACAGCAACATAAACTCAACCTTCTCATGCTTTAATAATACCATAACACAGGCCTGTGAAGTTAAACTTCATAAAAGTTGTTTTGGTTTTAATAATGAATTTTCCATAATTCAGCTATGCATATTTCGAAAATAATATTTGCTTTTTTCTATAACATAAGGATTTTTTACAAGTTGGAAGGAAAAAAAAAAACTTGCTTAGATCAAATTATTATTATGTTTGTTAACAAAAATACAAAAAACTGAAGAAAAGGGAAGAACATTGATGTCAAACAAATATGCATCTTCATTCATCCTGATTGTTTTTGTGATATCTGCATTATTTAGTCTCAAAACTACGTGTTATGGTCTTTCTTTTATGTATTACATTATGACGTTGTGTGAGAAATCTGTACATGATGGAGAAAAATGGATATCATTTTTGGATTCAGCGTACAGGAATCACTGTAAAACATGTAAAAATTTTAATACAATAAAACCATTGCAGGCCTGTGTAACCAGTCACGTATCTAAAATTTAGAAAAGCTGCAAATCAGATATGGTTCCAAACTTTTTGGACGTCATGTTTATTTGGAACCAATGTGAAGTATAATATTAGAAATGAGTCTAAACTGACTATTTATTACATGTTACAACATAACTTGGTGTTATGAATTCAAATGACTGAATCTTAATATCATGATGATATATTCTACTAGTAGCTACATACCACAACTGGTTAGCAGGTTGATTACATTTTGATATAACATATAGTTTCATGTTCCAGTCTTTCTCTTCAACTGGTGGTTTAAAAAAAAAGGAGGATCCTAATGTAATTAATATAGCATGTACAGTAGTGTATGTTCAACCCTTTTTGCATCTGGGTGTGGTATTTAATTATTTTCTTTCAACTTGGTGATGGATAAAGCTTATGAATAGATGTACAAACAGTTGCTTGGTGGGCTTTATTTAGATCCATCAGGTTTGTACAGCATGTTTGATACTTCAAACATATGAAGATAATAAATTAATCAATATTTATCAGTAAGTTACTTATGCTTTAACTATGCAGAGAATGTTTACTGCATTTGATTCTGGAAAAAAAACAACCTTTTTTTATTCCAGATGTATACAGGTTGATATGCATCTTTAACACTACCCACTGTTGCATAGCATAATATAACCTTATTATAATGGACATAGCACATATGTCATTATCTATGTATGTAACCAAAACTCCTGTGTCATTTATTGAATGGCAGGCACTACAAAAATCCTTAAAATTTCACACTTTGGTTATTCAAGATTCAGACAGTTAGAACAATAATTGTGGTATGTGCAACAAGCATTTCTTTATAATAGAACACAATTTTAAATAAAAGTACTCTCATCTTAACAAGAACATGAATTTCACTAGGACTGTACATGAAGGTTTGATTGTATTTTTAAATGTAGTAGTGAG